AGGTCCCCAGAGAAGGCTGAAGGTGGACTTTGGGGCCAGGGCGTGGTGCCCCAACAGACTGGACTGGAAAACACTCCTAAAGGCCAACAAACGATCCTTGAACTAACTACAAGCTTTTCTTTCTTGTCCCACTATCATGCTCAGTCCCCACCAGGATTTCAGTAATTCTTCTTTGTTACATTACCCTTGATCATGCCCTACCAGGCCTCCCACACACACCTGACCACTAATTTGGGTCACTTGTTGTTCCCTTGTCCCTGGGTTTGTTAACACCACTTCTTCTCCCTGCTTCCCCCTCTCCCATGTCCCTCCGAACTGTCAGTCCCGTTGTTTTCTCCTCCAGATTGTTCATACAGCCTATCTTATTTAGACAGACCTGTGGAGATAATAACATGCACAAAAACATGACAGAGCAAAACCAAGCAACAATGTGCTACAAAACAGCAACAACCTCAAGCCACTGACAAAGAACAGATTAAAATATACCAAGAAAGAAAAGCTTGTAGTTAGTCAAGGATCGCTGGCCTTTAAGAGTGTTTTCTTATGACAAGGTTCTAAGACCTCCTATGTACAGAACAAAGGCTCAGCAATCAAATGATCATTTAAATCTTACATCCTAGATTCTGTAAATTATGCTCTTCATATGCTGAGAACTGCCTTAATCCAGTTAACAAATAACTGAAGCTCCTTTTCCATAACTCCTATTTTTTTCAGAAACTCGTGAACTTCCTTTAATTTCGGAATTTCTACTATCATAGCTATTTTAAGCATTATAATCGGCCCTAGCGCCTACTACATAAAATGAGTAAACATTTAACACCATTCTAGAGAACGCCACAAAAGAACAGCACCACTCACTCCTACTTCCCTGAGTTCACGCCTTAAATTGTGCTATGTAAACTACCAGTTAGAAAAAGTAAATTGGCTTGTATGAGGATTAAGCTTAAAAGTACTGCTACAAAAATCACAGAAACTTTTATTAAACAAAAAGATTAAAACATGAAGCTACAGCTTCTCAATATATCTCCCATCCACATCTATACACTTCTGCAGGTGGTGGCTCCATCTCTCCAGCCCTTCCCCCTGAAAAACTCTGTGCTCTTCAATGTACACATCAGGATGGCGGCTTCAGTATCCTCCTTCGAGATGGAGGTTCATCGGCTTCCATAGTTACTCGAGTCAGGAGAAGCCTGCAGCCTCGCATCTGAACCGAAGGCTGGGAATTTGCCCAGATGTGGCACCTGTCTGCTTCTACAACTGTGTGAGCCGTTTTCCTGATATAACTTTCTTTCTGTCTGTGAGCGTCACTGGTTTTGCTTCTCTAGAGCCCAGCCTAAGAGATAGCACTAAAAAGGAAAATAGCCTGTGTCTTTATTTACCTAGGTTTTTAAATGTAAATCTTAAGGAATTGATTTATGCAAATGCAAATGCAAATAAGAAAATGACTAGAAAAAACTTACTGGCAAGAATAATCTCTGGGAAGCACATGGTTTAAAGAGTTTTTTCCACTCTGCTGCATTCTCACTTGGAAAGGTTACTGGGTATAATGTATAATTAAATGTTTGTAGAAATAACCAGCGATCAAGCTGAAAAAGCAAAAAAGAAAACAAGAATGAGGTTTTGCATTATTCCACTTTCAACTTTTCTACAGTAACACACAACTAAATTATGAAATGAAAACAACTAAAATTTAACATGTTGTACATTATACACAGTTAAAAGAAATTGTATGTTTTTTCACCATTTCTTTGTGTTTATTCATTAAATTGAAGTCACAGTAGCATGCCAGAAGCACTCACTCCATCATTAAGAACTGAAGAAGAATGAAAATTACCAGAATGAAATTATATTAAATTTTTTTTTAATTTTAGAGGGAAAAAAAAAGAAAATTACCAGCATATTAAACAATCAGAAAACTAGAAAAGCCTTGAAATAGTTCATCTACCTCAACTTTAACTGTTGTAAACATCCTCTCAATTTCTAAACAAATTTAAATCAGAAAAATTAGGCACTAATATTATTACCATAGTACATTTGACATAATGAAAAATGTTAACATTCAAAACTTAAGCCAATGAAAAAATACTGTCCACCTGTAAAATTTTTAATATGCATGAATACTCCAGAAAGGTTATCACATTTTAATAAATACACGGCAAATGCCATTAAAAAAATCATTTATAAAGCAAAATACATCTGAACTTTACAATAAACACATTTATCAATATTCTGAATGCACTCCAAGACACTGATTATTGTAAATTCAGTTTAAGTGTGACTTATCATTGATGCTTCAATAGTAGTGTTGATTCAAATTCCCTAAAGAAACAATTTATAGTAGAGCAAGGGGAACTAAGTAGTTCATGTGACAGGCAAAAGACATCACTTTTTAAATTAGAGTGGTATTCATGTAATATTTTAGAATATTAAATAGAGCCTCCCAACATTGTTTCAGGATATACACCTTTGCTTCCAACTTAATGCTTTGATGTCTGTTAATAATGAATTATTTTTAAACATTGATATTTTTGTTTTCCCTGCCCAGTTTATAAATTACATTAAGTACTATTTCAATACCAACTTCAATATGAAATATTAATCAGATTTCAATTAAAATTATAATACTTAGTCATCTCCTCTGTACTAAAACGATGTTCCACAAAATACTGATATTCTTTCAGTATTAATTATTATTCTGAGTTATTAATTAACTCAGAATTATTCATTATTGAATAACGATGGAAAAAACCTAAGTTTAAAAGAAAATATAAGTTTACGATATAATACATATTACAGAAGCAGTAACTTAGCCAGATTACAAAGCAACTCAGAGGCTAGATATAAACTGAAGCTATAAATTTATATTTGTTTTCTACTGCATTTTCAAAGGCTTCTACAGTTGGTCACAATCTGTTAGAATTCTCTTAAATGTTAGGACAAGTTCAATTCCTCAGCTAATCTTTTAGGAAACAATCCAAATAAGAACATCAAGATCACAAATCCACACTCAAGTTGATAGCTCTTAGAAACAATCTAAAACAATAAGTAATGTTTTATACTTCTTGGACTCCGTGGGCAGAAAATTCTGAGTCTTAAGGTCACCAGTATGATTTTTCACGCAATATACAGGATGAATTCATTTCATTTTAAAGCAATGTTAGATATACTTCCTTAACATAATTTAAAGTAGCATAACAATCCCGAGCAGTTTGAAAGTTTACTACATAGATAACGTGATCATCATCATCTTTGTTACTGTTAGATACCATCAACTCAGTTCTGACTCACAGCCGCCCTATGAACAGAACAAAATACTGCCCAGTTCTGTACCAACCTCACAACTGCTCTATTTGAGCCACTGTAGCCAGTGCCAATCCATCTTGTTCGGAGTCCTCCTCTTTTTTGTGGACCCACTACTTTCCACACTTAATATCCTTCTCCTTTTCCAAGAAACCTGTACTTCCTAATAATATGTCCAAAATAAGTGAATTAAACCCTTGATTCTAAGGAACATTCCAACTATGCTTCTTCCAACACAGATTTGTTTGGTAGCCCCTGGTATATTCAATATTCTTTGCCAACACCGTAATTCAAATGCATCGATTCTTCTTCAGTATTTCTTATTCATACATATTCATATGCATGCCATTTACATGCATGTGAAAATGCCATAGCTTGGTTCACACAGCGGCCATCAAGCTCAGAAGCAATAAAGCCCACATGGAAGAAGCACACCAGCCTATGCAACCACGAGGTGTCGAAGGGATCAGGTATAAGGTATTATCAGAACAAAAAAATCTTACCATAGTGAATGATGGGGGGAGTGCGGAGTGGAGACCCAAAGTCCATTAGTAGGCCACTGGAGATCCCCTTGCAGAGGGGTCTCGGGGAGGAGATGAGCCAGTCAGGGTGCGATGTAACAACGATGAGAAAAACAACTTTCCTCTAGTTCCTAAATGTTTCCTCCCCGCTCCCACTACCATGACTCGAATTCGACCTTGCAAGTCTGGCTAGACCAGAGGATGTACTCTGGTACAGATAGGAACTGAAAATACAGGGAATCCAGGGCAGATGAGCCCTACAGGACCAGTGGTGTGAGTGGCGAAACTGGGAGGGTGGAGGGAGGGTGGGTTGGAAAGAGGGAACCGGTTACAGGGATCTACATGTGACCTCCTCCCTGGGGGACGGACAACCGAAAAGTGGGTGAAGGGAGACGTCGGACAGGGCAAGATATGACAAAATAACAATTTATAAACTATCAAGGGCTCATGAGGGAGGGGGGAGCGGGGAGGGAGGGGAAAAATGAGGACCTAATGTCAGGGGTTTAAATGGAGAGAAAATGTTTTGAGAATGATGAGGGCAATGAATGTACAAATGCGCTTTACACAATTGATGTGTGTATGGATTGTGATAAGAGTTGTAAGAGCCCCTAATAAAATGATTTTTTTATTTATTTTAAAAACATCTTTTTCAATAGATTTGTCCAATGCAATTCATCATTTGTTTTCTTGACTGCTGCTTACATGGGTGTTGATTCAAATAAAATGACATCTTTGACAACTTCAATCTTCTGTTTATCTTGATGTTGTCTGTTGGTCCAGCTGTAAAGATTTGAGTTTTATGTTGAGGTGTAATGTGTAAGAAGGGCTCAGTGTTTGGTTTTCATCAGTAAGTTCAAGTCCACTTCGCTCTTAGTATCCAAGGTTTTGTCTGCATGCTGCAAATGTTCATGAGTCTTCCTCCAATTCCCATGCCAGGTTCTTCTGTGTATAATCTAGCTTCTCACATTATTTATTCAGCAAACCCACTAAACAAGCATGGTGAAAAGGTATGTCTGATGCACTCTGTCCTGATTTTAAACCACGCTGTATCCCCATTCTGTGCAATGTTATTCATAACTGCATGATCTATATGTTCAATAATTGGCACCTTCTGTTGAGTCATCTTTCTTTGGAATGGGCACACAGATCTCTCTCTTTCGGTCTATATTTGTTGGTCAGGTCTTCCAAATTTCTTGGCAAGTGAGGGCTTCTAGTGTTCTATTTGTTGACACTTCACAACTGATACTTCCTCAAATGCTGGAATTTCATTTTTCACCAATGCTTTCAGTGCAGCTTGGACTTCTTCCTTTAGTACACTGGTTCTTGGTCATATGCTTCCTCCTGAAATGGTTAACACTGGCCAATTCTTTTGGGGATGGCTATTATGTATTTCTTCCATCTGCTTTGGATTTATTCTGTTACTCAAAACAGAATCCTTCAATATTGAAACTCAAGGCTTGAATATTTAATTCAGTTCTTCCCTGCTGGTTTCCTAATTCCAAATTTCTGTACACTTCCTTATAACACTTTGTCTTCTCAAGTCACACAACTCACTTGCTCAGCTCTTTTATGGCCTCATTTATTCTATTTGCTTTGGCGAGTCCTCATTCAAGAGTAAGTTTCAGAGTTTCTTCTGACATTCAATTTGGTCTTCCCTTTAGTCCCTGTCTTTTTAGTGAACTTTTTGCTTTCTTTATGTATGATGTTCTTGATGTCATCCTATAACTCATCTAGCCTTAGACCATTAGTATTCAATCATCATCATTGTAATATCTCAAAACATAAGATAGGGAGACTGCAGGGGATTTTCGTTTTCATATATGCTTTCCCCTGATAGTCGGTCTCCTCTTTGTCCATAGTAATATATGGTTTTCCTATCAGATTGCATGATCCCCTCAATTAAAGAGTACATTTTGCACCTTCAGACACAGGTAGGTATGGTCGCATGATGAAACTGAGACCAATGGAAGACCGGCAGGACTGTCATGTCTAAATCTCCGGAATGTGTCTTCAAAGGAAAGTCGCTGCTTTGTTCACCCTTCCCTCCTTTACACTGTTTAAAATATGGGCGGATGACTTGGGTGACAATACGGAAAATGCACATTGTAGACAATCCAGCAATAAGATGGACTAAGTAAGAGCCCTTGAAGGCAAGAAACAGATATTTTCCTAGAATGCCTATTTTTATGTGACATGTGTGCATAAATTTCGATATCTTGTTAAGCTACTACCATGACAGCCAAATTTACTCTAAAAAAATCTAAATAAGGAACTTTCTTATCCAAGAAAAAAATCTACTTCCTTCCAAAAAGTCAATCAAGAATTCCCTCTCCTCAAAAACATAAAGCCTTTGTGTGTATGTACTCTGAGTGAGGCAATTCAAAGTCAAGATGGAAACAAAATTAAGTCATAGGATTTCTCAGTCAAAACACCCAAAGACAATAGTAAGAGTAATAAAAGCCTCCATACTTGGCAAAGTAACTTACTCCTATTCACAAACCACCTTTTGTTGATATCCAGGTTTGGGCTCCACAATGAGAGGGCAGCAGCAAGGAGCACTCCCCACACGAGGCGGACAATGAAAGTATTAAAAAAATGTATCACCGCGTTTCATTATATTTTCAACGGTACCATCTTCACTAAGTCTCAAATACTTACTATGCCTTTAAAGCTGGCATGCAGCTGATCTTCGGCAAAAATATGGAATTGGAGCGGTTTGATGCTGAAAAGTATTGCAGACTTCAGCATGGTTACGGTTTCTTCCAGTCTTTCACCACAGGCAACTACAGCTATGTGCATTCGTTCCACCGGTTGCGTTTTCGGACTATACCTAACAGAAAAGAAAACCACATTTCCAACAGTTTTAGTATGGGATAGCAAGTCTGCAATATAGTCTATATCCACCCTGTGCAAAAACTGAAGTTCAAAGCTTGGGTCTAAAACGCAAAGAAACACCAACATACAAACCCTTACCATGATAAATCCATCATATTTTTTTTTACTTTCAACCAGCCTGTCTTAATCAATGTTATTCATCTGAACCAGGGAACACAAAAACTATTTTTTCAGCTCTCCTAGAACGGTAAATAATGACTTCTAGATGCACATAAATTAGATGATTACTCAGGCTGATGGTTTTAGACACTGGCATTTGATTCTATCATTGAACCTCAGCTGAGAATGGGAACATACTGATTTGAAAGTCTTTTGGTCAATCTGAAAAACTTTTAATCTAAACCAAATAACAAGCAGACACAAGAGTAGACAGATTAATGCAGTCAATTCCCACACACCCATCTCTCACCTACAATAACAACTTATTCAATGGAACTCATGTCTCATCTAAAACCCTTCCTCCCATTGTCCTCCATCTACCAATGACTCATTTGGAAGCAAATTTACACATAATTTTATTTATAAATATTTCAATGTTGCATGTAATCTTAAACCATGCTGATTATAAAAAAAAAAAGTTTCTCACACAAGTCCCATTTACAAAGTAATCAGAGAAAGGTGAAAATTTGTAAGATGGTATAAAACATACTGGTAATCAAACACTGGAATGTCATTTTGGAAGGATTACCTAAGACCAATTTACCTTTGGAGGCTATGTTTGAATTTAAATTTAGCACAGCAGTATATACGTTTATAACATCAGGCTTAAGCAACCTTTAAAACCTTTCACATTTTCTCTCAACATTTCAAACTAATAATGATGGATTAGCACATAACAAGCACAACTAATTATTCTGACTAAAATGTTACTAAGTAAAATAGATTACTTATGATCTATAACGCAGACTTGTTTGAAGAACTGACTCCTAAATGAGTGTCAAAATAGGAGGCAACATGAAACAATATATCAAAAATAAATATTAATATCTCTGATGAACCACATAACTATCCCCTAGTTCTTTAATATTTCCTCCCCTATTATAGTTTTTATTTGTTTTACCCATTAACCATGTTAGATTTACTTACTATGTTCATTTGTATACTTAAGATTGCTTGGTACACGAAAGCCAAGATAGATAACCCCTCAGAAACAGTAATAGGAGTAATGGTTCCCTGGGGGTATGGAAATGGGGGAAGGGGAGGGATAATGGGGGAAATAGGGAGCTGAAAGCATTGATGACTGTATAATCCCACTCAATGGAAGTGAAAAACAGAATTGTATGAGAACGGATATACTGGATCAAGTAAGATACAGCAAAAAAAAATTTTTTTTAACTACTATAAGGAAAAAATAAATAAGGGTTCCTGGGGGGTAAAGGGGAGCTGACTGTGGTAACAATTGTACAATACTGCTTGATGTGATTGAACTATGCAATGTTATGATAGCTGTCAAGAGCTCCCAATAAAAATGATTTAAAACAAATATTAAGGAATATAAATACTTTGAATTAAAATTTTGATTTTAACATAATTTTTAGTTACTGGGGTCCTTTCTGTAAAACATGTAAAGTTTAGATGGAGAACCAAAAGAATCATTGTTCACAGATGACATTAGTATGTATGTAGAAAATACAATAAAATCAACAGGTAAATCACTAGATTTTAACAAGTCTACCAAAGTTGCAGGATATAAATTTCAATACACAGGTGTGCAGCCACACTGACAGTCCAAGATGAGAAACTGCAGAGTGAACTTAATAATCAAAGGAAGGAATGATGATTGTTGTGATTTTTCAAAAGTATCAAGATATTAAAATGTTATTCTTATCTATGTATAGTAGTTGGCATGCAGTAAAGGTAGTATTATACACACTTTGAAACACTGAGAATTAAAGTGCTTGATTTCTTTGCACAACTTTATCCAGAGTATGTATGTGTTGCTTCTTATGAAGAGTTGTTGCCATGTTTTGACTGTGACGCTCCTTTCTAAGTCTGCTGCAGCTTCCAGTATTTTATCCTTTGTGCTTTCAGTGTCCTCATGTACTTGCATCCCAGAGAGTTCCTCTAATGTGAAGATATGTGTCAGTGTCACTGCCTTGGGACATACACCTTCATCTGGTGAGTCACAGCCAAGCTGCTAACTGACATCAGTACCTGCACCTTCAATAAACTCCCTTGCTGCATGTTTCAAGTCTCTAGAAAGGGGGCACTGTCAGCATTCTCATGATCAGTTATTTCTTCCACAATTCTACTTATGTTCGATTCAAATTTCACTTCCTCTGTCATCACTTCATTTTTTTTGCTGATCTATAAAATGTCATTTGGATTTACCAGTGAAGACAAGACAGTAAAGCTCGATATGCTGCTCTCTGCACATGACCTGAATAACAGATGCAAAGTGACCAATCACTGGCTAGACTCTGATCAGGACAGGCATCTGTTACTTGCTTAGCTGTGATGCAGTGAATTACATAGTATGACCCTTCTAACCAGTCTTTATAACTCCCATCAGTGACTAGGAAGGACTATGCAAATGTGAAATGCCTGTGGTTCACCAAGGGGACTGGACAGCTTGCTAATAATGGAAGTGAGGGGCATGGCACCTCTGTGGGGATGCAACTATGGAAATAAGCAATACAGAACCCTAGCATGGGGACCGATCAGTTTTGCCATTCCGTTAAGCGTAGGATGAGCCATTCCACAGGTGGAAAGGGGGCTCTCACACCACCAAGAAGCAGCTAGGAGTGAAGTGCATCCTTTGGACCCAAGAACCCCATGCTCAAAACCTGCTTGACCCAAGAGATAGTTGTTTATATCTTGCTGAAATATTAAAAAGCAATGGCAGAGAAATGGCAGCCCCAGAACCAAGATCCCAGCAGGAGACACTGTGGTGGGCTTCTAGGCCCACAAGAACAAGAAAACCTCGGGTAGGAGGTTTGCTAGTGGAGTCGGTTCCTCTGGGCATTTATCAGCAAAGCTAAAAGAGCTTTGTAACACTTGCCCAGAGAAGGAGGCCAAGGCGTTCAGGGTCAGAGAGAGGCCTTCCTGCCTAGAGATTCTGATGCATTAGGTTGCAAATGAAGCCCAGGGATTTGTAGTTTCATTAGACCCCCAGATGATTCCAATAGTCAATGAAGTTTTGGAACCTAAATTGGCTTGTCAGCATGTTTGGAACAGGGCAATTAAATAGGTGGATGATAATTTGCTCTAAGTAAGAAACTAAGTTTATGAAATTTTGCATAATTATATAATATGTATAGCAAAATGATTTGTTGTTTTTATGTAATCGTATGCTATAGACTAAGCATATAATATTACACAGAATACTTCACACAATAACAAGTGCAAGGGCTTACAACAAAGTGGGATCCACAAGTAATTTCTCCTAGGGCATACTTCAGGAGTATTAAAAAATAAAGTAGGGCATTGGTACAGATAGGAACTGAAAATACAGGGAATCCAGGGCAGATGAGCCCTACAGGACCAGTGGTGTGAGTGGCGAAACAGGGAGGGTAGAGGGAGAGTGGGTAGGAAAGAGGGAACCGGTTACAAGGAACTACATGTGACCTCCTCCCTGGGGGACGGACAACAGAAAAGTGGGTGAAGGGAGATGTCGGACAGGGCAAGATATGACAAAATAACAATTTATAAAACTATAAAGGGCTTATGAGGGAGGGGGGAGTGGGGAGGGAGGGGAAAAGTGAGGACCTAATGCCGGGGATTTAAGTGGAGAGGAAATGTTTTGAGAATGATGAGGGCAATGAATGTACAAATGCGCTTTACACAATTGATGTGTGTATGGATTGTGCTAAGAGTTGTATGAGCCCCTAATAAAATGATTTTTAAAAATAAAGTAGGGAAGTTAAAAGAGAAATGGATAAAGTAAATTTTCCTGGAAGGAAACTCTTGGGAGTTGATATTGTTGAATGATGATGATGCAAGCTTCAATTTACAAAAGGGTCTGGTTTTTATAAACCAGACAGTTCTGAAGTTTTCAAGCTTTCCAGGCTTCCAGAGTAAACAGACTTTTGTCATAAGACTGGAGATAGCAAAGTGGCGCCTTGTCGACACTTATCCATTAGCAAGAATACAAAATATAAAGCTCCAATTTTCAAAAGTTTTAAAAGCTATAAAAATGGTAAGATTATCTTTAAATAGTTTTTAAAAGTTTAAAAACTGACTTGGACTGATCCCTGCTAAAATTGTAATCACCCAAACTTGCCCATAGCCATGGGATACAATGAAAATATCTGTTCCCTGCCAGTTTTTCATGGTATGCATAGCAGAGCGGGAGCACAGGAACAAAAATGCATGTTATATGTTACATATATGCCTTTGAAGAAAGCAGCCAACACCAAGGGTAGGGGAGTGCCGAATTTGCAGCAGCCCATAATCCTTTTCTCTCAAATGCTCATTGGTTCAGGGCCACATCTGTACTAGGAAATCTAAGCAGAGAGCTGGTGGTAGGTAACCTAAGATGTTTTCATATTAAAAGACATATGCATGCAACCTAAGCCCTATTGTGTCCTTGAGGCACAGTACACAACGCCCTCACTATTTTCATTTCATCTAATCATCTCACCTTGACCTTCCTCCTTTCAGTTTCCACACTGAAGCCAGATCCAGGTCCCCAAAATGCACATTTTAGAATGTCACTCTCGTGCCTAAAATTCCTGAATGCCAGGTGAAGCCTTCACTCAGCAAGGTCTACAGGCCCTCTGCCCTTCCACTCTGTGCTCCCGTGATAAAGCCTTACCGTTTCTTGGCTGTACTGTCTTGTCCTCTCAGTTTCTGCAAATACAGCCGTTCTCCCCACCCAGAATGCCTCAGCTCCTGCCCTTAGACCTGGCTGCAGTCACAGTTTAGACATCACTCTCTGGTGCCTGAAGCTGACTCCCCACCCAGTGCTTCTCCCATCATCAGAGCTAGAACTCGTCACCTACTCCTGCAAGCTCAAGTTCACTGGCCCAAAGCCCCCAAAAGGTCAGAGCCAGATGTTCAGACATTCTCAGTGCCAACCAGTGCCTGACAATGGAATGAATAGAACTTAAAAGTACATGAATCATGAAGACTTGGTACAAATATACGACTCTCAGGAGAATTTTTTTTTTCTTGAGGCAGACATTTCAGGGCTATGGCCCCACTCCACCATCATTCTCTCAGGGACCTAAGTCTTTGAAAACCCCTGCCCTGTCCCATCCCTATCAACACTGTTTCTTTCTTGCTTTGAAGGTTACAGCAGGAAGAGACCTAAGTTGTCAGCCAACTCAATGCCTTCATTATACAGAGCAATCATTGAAAAGGTCAAAACACCAAACCAAACCCATTGCCAATTGTCACTGTGATTCATAGTAGGTGGCAGGACAGGAGAGAACGGAGCTCGTCAGGCTTCCAAGGCAGTGACCCTTCCAGAAGCGGACTGCCACATCTTTCTCCTGTGGAGCAGCTGAGTTCAAACCTTTCAGTCAGCTGCCAAGCACCTACCCACTGTGACACCAGGGCTCGCAAGAGGTCAGTAAAAACTGCCGCATCATTTGTTCCCACGTGAAACATTTTTATCCATCTTCTCATTTCCCAAAATTCAATCTTTCTGCTAATATTCAACTTAAATCTTATCCCAGTGGTCCCCTATCCACCTACAAAATTTTCTGTGTACAAGCTTTAGATGCATGCATGTGTGTTACGTCAGTATAAGTTTACCTTTATCACTTTTTACCTAGAGTTGGATCATAAATTCTAAGAACAATGGCTTATTAATAAAGTCTGAGGAAAATCAGAGCATTTTATATACAGTATATAGTCTCATTAGTAATAAAGAACTGTAACTACAAATAGGAAAAGGGAATTGAATATTCAGCCAGAAAAAATTACTTGGAGGACAATATTATGTTACAGGAAAATAAATAAGTTTTTATTATTTACTATCTAATCTTACCTACACTGATCTACCAATTAAGTATTAAATGCCTACCTAAAAGTCGCTTCCCAAAAGCAGTTCATTCCACAAACATCAGAGGGCAGCATCCAATAGGGATTCCAGTAACACAGAGAGAAATCTTTACACCTAACAGAGTAAGACAGAAACAAGAGTCCTATGTTAAGTATTTCAGTTTAGAACCAACAAGGAATTTATTCAATAATATAATAATCGACTTCCTATTGTAGAGTAATGAATCCAAGCTGCCAAGCTAACTTGTAAAAGTTCTTTAAAATTTGTCTCCCCTGTTTAAGGCATCATTATTTTTAAAAGCAGGGTAAAATATTTAGGATATTCTATACATTGGGAAATAGTTTTCAAGTCAGGAACTCTCAAGTCAAGCATATATTTCTTTAGGAAATAAAAAATGAAATTCCATTTCAGCCGAGCAAAACCTTAGCCTGAAGGAAAATTAAAATGCCACAAATGCTTGGTGGAAAGGAAAGCATCGGACCTTCACAGGGTAAATGAATGCCATTTGTGAGGGGTTTTAAACAGAATCATCAGCAAGCATGCTAACAGCCATGGCTCAGTTTCCTTACCTAAAGTATCTCAGTTTTCCTATATTACACAAGCTAAAAGATTTCACACACACACACACACACACACACACACACACTTTTTTCCCCTTATACCTAATAAGATATAAAATAATCTTTCTTCTTTGGTCACAGGTTGCTGCTAAGGCAAATTCCTCACATTACAAAGTGTTTTATTTTTAATCATTAACCTCTTTTTTAAAAAGTTGCCGGTGGTGGGAGCTCATTCGTCATGGCTGCTGGGCCAATCTCCGAGCAGAACCAGGATGCTAGTGTACGTGGGGGGCCTGGATGAGAAGGTTAGCGAACCCCTTGCATGGGAACTGGTCCTCCAGGCAGGGCCAGTAGTCAACACACATGCCAAAGGATAGAGGCCCTGGCCAGCACCTAGGCTACGGCTTTGTGGAAGATGCTGACTATGCCATTACCATGAACATGATCAAACTCTATGGGAAACCCATCGAGTGAACAAGGCATCAGCTCACAACAAAAACCTGGATGTGGGGGACAATATTTTTATTGGGAACCTGGACCCAGAGATTGATGAGAAGCTGCTTTGATATTTTCAGCACCTTAAGGGTCATCTTACAAACCCCCAAGACTATGCGGGACCCTGACACAGGCAACTCCAAGGGTTATGCCTTCATTAATTTTGCGTTGTTTGATGCTTCAGATGCAGCAATTGAGGCCATGAATGGGCAGTACCTGTGTAACCACCCTATCACTGTGTCCGTTACCTTTAAAAAGGACTCTAAGGGTGAGAGGCATGGCTCAGCAGCAGAAAGCCTCCAGGCAGCCCACAATTCACTCTCCCAGGCTGATCACACTCACCAGCCTTTCCCTCCACCTTCTGCCCCCAGTCCTGGGGTGTCATCACTGGCGTCTGGGTTTCCTCCACCAAGTATGCCTCCTCCTGACTACTTCCTACCCCCAGTGCCAACACCTGGAGCCCTTCCCCCTGTATACCCCTAGCCATGCCACCACCACCTATGGTGCCCCATCAGCAGGAACCCCAGGAGCTGGACATCCTGGACATGAACCTTCTCATCCCCACCAGGTAGGATGCGCCATCCAGGGATGCCTCAGATGCAGCTGGCCCACCATGGACCCCATGGTTTAGGACAGCCCCATGCAGGGGCCCCCCCCCAGGCTCTGCGGGACAGCCACCACCCCGACCACCACCTGGAATGCCTCATTCCAGACCCCTTCCAATGGGCATGCCCCCAAGAGGGCCTCCATTTGGCTCGCCCATGGGTCACCCAGGTCCGATGCCTCCACAAGGCATGTGAGGCCCTCCTCTGCTGATGCCTCCAAGTGGATACACTGGCCCTCCACCACCTCCACCCTACGGCTACCAGCAGGCCGCTTCCTCCACCCAGGCCCCCTCCTCAGCCGCCGGTTCCTCCTCAGGCCCTCTTGGAGGCCCTCTCCCTCAGTAAATTCTCACTCTCCTTCCTCCTGTTTTCGTTTCCCAGTATCTTCCAGATTCCTTAGACCAATCAGAGTTACTGGAGCTCCATGGAGCTAAAGCAGCAATTACTCTCAGGCCTTTCTTTCTCTTTTTAAGTAACTTGTACCACAGGGAGTTTGTCTTTTTTTTTCCTATGTTGGTTCCAAATATTTTTCAAATGCAAATTTGCAAAAATAAAGCGAAATTTGTTTTTAAAAAAAGGAAATTTGCCATCAAGTCCATCTAAACTCCAGGACAGAGGAGAACTGCCCCATGAGATTCCCAAGGCTGTAACCCTTTATAAAAACACACTGCCATGTCTTCTTCCCTGAGCAGCTTGATGGGTTTGAAGCACCAGCCTTTTGGTTCACAGCTAAGCACTTTAGCCACTGTGCTACCAGGCTCTTAAAAAAAAAAAAAAGGTCCCCAGAGCAAAACCCTGGATTCTAAAATAGAATGTAAGTCACTGGCCAGCACCAAGGCTATGGCTTTGTGGAATTCTTGAGTGAGGAAGATGCTGACTATGCCACTGAGATCACAAACATGATCAAACTCTATGGGAAACCTATCCGAGTGAACAAGGTTTGGAGCACCAGCCTTTTGGTTCACAGCTAAGCACTTCAGCCACTGTGCTACCAAGGCTCCTTTAAAAAAAAAAAAAAGGTCCCCAGAGCAAAACCCTGGATTCTAAAATAGAAATGTATAAAGTCAAGGTAAGTCACTATACCAGGCCATCCCATAGCCCACGATGCAACTTAGTTTCTCTCACTACAGGCTCAAGTATACATTACTATCTTTATAGGATCTCTGATCACTCCCTTCAAAAACATCAGTCATGTAGGCAGAGCTTCTCAGCCTTGGCTAAGGATGAGGTCGGACATCAACCCAAAGGCCCATGCCAGACTTATTACCTCGGAATCCGAGTTAGGTAATGGTGACTTTAAAATGCTTCCTAATTCTGAATGCTAGTGCATAAAGAACTACCCAGAATGAATTTTAAAATATGAACAGTACTTTTGTTTTCCTTGAGATGCACACCATTCTCCAGCACTGCATAAAGAGTTACATAGCTCAATTTATAAGACTGATATAGAAGAGAATGTGTGCATTAGGACTTAATCAGGAAATTTCAATTTGTACTTTTATCAGAATGCTTATACTTAAGTCTTGCATTTCGTATCAAAGATCACACTCAATGGTAATAACAATGAACACCTGCACAGTACTCATCAGATTCAAGTACTTTCATGTACACCTATGCCTCAGACAAATCTGTTTGAGTCTTCACAACAAATCCGTGTAGAAAGAGAGCCTACAGTCTGAGGCACTTGGTGTGTATAAACGGAGCATTCTGAAAGCCTTGACATGAGTCTAGCGTCTACACTAAAACTGTAGGGTGCCTTTCCTGGCAGCAGTTCCCTCACCCTGATGCTGCCCTAACCACAGTGAAGGAAGCATTCATTCTGCTTCTGAGCATCGGCCCACACAGCCTATCAGTCGGTTCCAGAGGGTCATTGCATTCTACAGTCAAGCAGATGCAATAGCTTTGACCCAAAAGGTCTTGATGCACAGCAATTATTGATAGATCTTCATAATTGACCCTCAGGAAAGTATTACTGGAAACCAGTTTTTTAATAGGCTACCAGAAAAACCTGTCCTGCCATAGCCCTGTGACTACGCTGTAATAAACTAAAAATCCGGTCCACTTACAATTACGTACCCTTGACCAACCATGCAATCTACCTCTTCCTGCCAAGCTCCACTGTTCAGAACACTGCCTTTGACTCTCAATGTCTTTTAGGCAACTGTGACTTGATCCTTTAGTTCTTGCTCTAAGTCTACAAGAACGATTGAGTGGCTATCATCACTGTGAATTTGGATGTCTTCCCATTCCAGCCCATCTCTGGACTGGCAATCAGTCTCTTCAATTTACCTTTACACGTTTTGGGGTGTTTTTTTTCCTTTGCTCTCTATTTATCTATATAAGATAAGCAGGACAAACAATCCCGAGGAGAAAACAATGGGGTGGGTGGTCCCGGGGGGAACATGGGAGAGGAGCAAGAAGGGAGGGGGAGCCAACAAACTCAAGAATAAGGGAACAAGATCTAAAACTGATGGCGAAGAGGGGGTATAATGTCTGGTGGGGTTTAACTACAAGGCAAAAGCTATTTATAGAGATATAGCTATAGGCATGTATACATATAAATATATGAATTTATAATGCAAGCGATAGAGGCCAATGTACATATATGTATGTTAATTAAGACAGCAAACAGACTTTGGGCCCCTTCTCATGGCCTCCCTAAATACAAGAACACTTTGCTCTAATAACCTGACACACTTTGATACCTTCCCAACACAACTGCTGAAGACAAAATGGGTGCATAAGCAAATGTGGTGAAAAAAGCTGATAGTGCCCAGCTAATCAAAAGATATATCATCTGGGATCTTAAAGGCTTGAAGTTAAACAAGCAGCCATCTAGCAGGGAAGTAAATAAGCCACATGGAAGAAGCACATCAGCCTGTGTGATCATGAGGTATTGACAGGATCAGGTATCAAAAGATCCAAAACAAACAATTATATCGATGAAAAAGATGGGGGTTGGAGTGGAGACCCAAAGCCCATATGTAGACAATTGGACCTCCCCCCACAGAAGGGTTATAAGGGAGAGTCAACCAGGGTGCAGTATAGCACCGACAAAACACACATCATTCCTCTAGTTCCTGAATGTTTCCTCCCCCCACTACCATGACCCAGTTCTACCTTACAAATCTGGCTAGACACACACTGGTACAGATAAGAGCTCTCAACACATGGAATTCAGGACAGATAAAACCCTAAGGAACAGTAGTGATACCATGAAGGTAGGGAATGGTGCGGGACACCCATCAGAAGGCTGGATATATAACTCCCCCTGGGGGGGTGATGAATAACAGAAATGGGGGTGATGGGAAACAACGGACAGTATAAGACACAAAATAACAATATATATTTGATCAAGGATTCACAAGGGTGGGAGAAGGGAAGAGGAGGGAGGGGGAAAAAGAGGAGATGATACCAAGAGCTCAAGTAGAAAGAAAATGTTTTGGAAAT